AAAGAATGGCAAAATATAATGAAGCTACGCAAATGGAATTCGGATCTTAATATGTAGATTCATTTGATCTTCAGGGAGCCTAGGCTTCAAACCTTTCTTTTTTCATTTTGCATTATCCAATAATAAAATTGTCTCAAACTTTTCAAATTAAAAAAAAAATGTTTGAGCATTCCAAAGCAACCTGGGAAAAGCTATGCTGTCGACTTATATATAAATATTTTAGTGAAAAATTACTGAATATTGTTTAAAGCATAGCTAATTTCCACAAAAAAGTTCTGTTCCGCTCTATCCTCCTTCTTCTACACCACAGATCTAAATAACAGATTTCCAAGTGAAGCTTTGTACGCTGTGTGCAGCCATCTAGCTAAAACTAGGAAATGGTCTATTGCGATAGATTCCTACCGTCAAATGAGTTGATTAAATGCGAGAAAAAGGTTGTTAGTGTCGACCGGGATCTTGAAGTGCTTATAAGGTATACATTGTGCCTTACTCTTTCATATTCGTATGGTTTACATTCGATAACATTCGGTATTTTAAATATTTTTTATACGTATTTGCTAATTTTATAAAAAAAAACTGTCACTGCACTTAGCTTTCTGTGCGAGTTTTGGGTTTTAAAGAGGTTTGAAATTAATACTATTTATAGTGGAATCGGTTTCCAGAGCATGTCAATTAATTTTTCAAATATAATGAACTTCAAATTATTAGTGTAGAATGCAAAATAACAAAATAAGAAATTGAAAGGAATACAAATTACACTTCCTAAGTCGTCTGTTTGCTTTCTATGATTAAATTGCTTAGCCATACTTTCTTCTAACTCTTTGAGATGCAATCATGAGGCAACCGCAACCTCTTACAATTCTCAAAGATTTAAATTCGATTTTACTTAATTTGTATAATGTAATTATATGAAAATCAATTAGTATTAATTTAAATTTTGAGGTCAGCAGGCGAGTAAAAAACAAAATTTACAGTTAGAAACTATGTAGGTCTAGTGCCGAATGTATGTGTATCTATCAAAATATAAACGAAGAATATATGCATATATACACATATCAGACAAAAATTCGAATTTTAAACTAAAAAAAAAATTTGTCTAGTTTAGTTCTGCTCATAAATTGGTATAAATTTGCTTTAGTGTTAAATTTTTTGTCTCTACTCACCATATATGTTACGGTAATTTATTAAACGCCTTTTAAATACCATAAAAAATGAAAAATAATCTGCACGAAAGCGAATGGGCAAATGGTTGGCCATCCAACCGGCAGCCAGTCAAACTCGCAATTCATGTTGGCGTAAACTTGTTAATGCCTTCAGGGCCAGTTTATAATGCACGCATAATGAATGCGTTCACAAACGCTGGAACACAAAACACGCACGCACGCATGCATACGATTTTCATATCGCCTCGATTGTGAATACATACATAAAAATGTATGTATGTATATATGCGTATGAATGTACATATATATATATATATATGTATTGGGATTCGAATGGAGTGTTGGTAGTGCAGTTATTCACTCACTAAAGTTTCCAAAGATATACTGGTTATTAAATGCGCCCCTTTCGCTGGGATGCACCTTTTATACATATACATATATGTACATGTGTGTGTCTATACGTTGCCTGCAAACATTTTTGGAGCACATAATCCTTTGGAGTAATCCAATTGCTACTTCTCTGAGATCTACTATTGGACCAAATCAAATTTCGCTATCAGCTTGTTGTTAGCCGATGATTGCAATTGCTAAACGAAATAACAGTAAGATTTGTGCTCGTATACAGAAAATATGTGAATATGAAATTGAGTCAGTTTCGTTTCGCTGGTGAGCTCTGCTGGTATATAGAAAGCGTAATGAAGTTGAGCTAAAATTTTTCAATGTAAATCGAACAAAATCGTAAATAAAAATATGCATATTAATAATAGGTTTGTTTATTTGATTATTTGAATTGTGTCTCATAAACATTTTTTCTCAACTTTTTGTTTCGTGAGTCTGTTCTAAGCTGAAATAAAGTAACTCAGATCACGATTTTCTGGTCTGACTTTTTTGGTAGAGTTACTTGGAGCAAGCAATAAGATTTTTTTACAAACGAGCTTAGAAAACGAAAGCGGGTAAAATATAATAAAGGGCTGTTCACGGGGCTCTCTCTCTCTCTCTGTGTTTCAACAGAAAATACAAACACTTGCATTTGAAAGATGTTGACCGAAAATGTTTCAAGAGCTTTTTGCTCCGAGTTGCTATAATTTGCTCCATTGTTTTTTTTTGTAGCTTCTCTGTTCTGTAGCTTCAACTTGAGTTGCTCTGCACTATTTTCAGTCTTAATAAAAAAGCCAAATATATGTGTAATAGATTATTGCTATTAATATAATTTTTTATGATAAATATTACGTTTTAGTAGCTTTTGACCAAACCGGATTGTATTCGAAACTAAAAAGTACATTCGAATGTAATACACGGTACACTGTAGGTACTCCATGGAGTACTCGGATGTTAGGAAGTGATGGAGTATATGGTCCAGCTTGTTTTAGCGCAATATTGATTAGACCATATTTTTATATGTATTGTCGTTACTTTTGGATTACTTTATTGAGCGCAAGGAGTATATATTTCACGCGTGCATGGTGCACTCGCGTTGTTTGTAGGGATATAATACATTATACCTATGTTTACATACTTACATACGTGTGTATACCTGTGCAGTGCAAAATGGGTTTGTTTGTATAAGATTGCAGCTTCTGTATGCATATGCATCCATCTAAGTGCAGTTATTTATGTGTACATGCTTGTATTTATAGTAGTTATATATACATATGTACATACATACATAGATGAAAGTCATACATACAAGGCGTTGAGTAAATGCGTGTGCTTGAACAATTTTATTATTATGTTAAATGCTTTTATGTCGTACAACTACATTCATACTTATGTATATTTATGTGTATAATTATATGTATAGAAGTTAAAACAATAACAATATATGTACATATCTCTACATGGCAGAGTCTGCCTCACCACGATGACGACGACGATTTATGAAATTGAGTTATTGCACTTGAGGCAAATTAAACCTCATAAATATTTAAAATCAGAGATTAACTGCCAAAGATGCCGCAAAGAGCCTAGGGAGACGTATTGGCTAACGGTAACCTCGGGTAGGCGAGTTGGTATATATACATGTACTCAAATAACACAGCACATTCTGTATTTATACCAAATACCTTAAATAAGTCTTAGTGATCTTTAACATTGGAAAAATATGGCACAAATTTTATACAGTTCGTATTGTAAGTACTTCATTATTATTTATTTTCTTTATGTTTATTAAAAGAAAATTACACAAATGTCAAAGCATAATATCATTTGTTGAATTGTTTAGCAATGAACAATTCAAATTTAAAACACAGAAATATTTTACGCTATGTATTGTACATAGTAGGTTAGCATTTGAATTGAACATTGAATGCCTAGCACGTTTTTGTACATACGTAAATATGACCGCAGGCAAAAGGTAGTTTTAAGCTTTTTCTAATTTAGTGTTACTTTATTTATTATCAGTTTTTTGGTTAATTTATTTTTTGCTAGAAATTTTGCCTTACTTTCCAGGGAGTGTTATTGCCTTATTAGAAAATAACAAATATTTCTTCAATACAATTCCACACTGTTTTATAGATGGCTCCACACTTATTGTATAGAAAGCGTAGTCAGTCATGCAAGTAATTCTCAATGTCTTATATTTTTTTGATTTTTAAATTTTCCCTGAGCCTGCACATCGAAATCAACTCCTTGCGAGTTTGAGAAAACGTAGACTACAGTGGCTCGAAAATATCACAGATAAAAAAATAGAACATATACAAAATAAAAACTGTTAAATAACATAAAGAAAAGCGCTTTAATAAGACAATTAGCAATTTTTCAGGTAGTGATCGGAGCTACAGCATTGTTGCAGCCACCAATGTACCTACATATAGCCATTTGCACTGCATTTGACTTGTCGCATTTAGAGTGGCAAACATTTGCTCTCGTTGGTTGGCTAGTATGCTGTTTAACAGTCCAATTATTGTTTCTAGTAAAAATTGTATTTACGACAGCAGCATACATACATATGTGAACATAATCATGCAATGGCTTCTAATTTTTGATTGAATATTTTTGTTTGTGTTATTGAAGAGGTGAGAATTTTAACAGAATCAGTAAAAGGGTAAATAGAGCTAGACGACGTGATATAGAAAGTTCCAAATATGTACGTACGTATGTGCTTCTAAAAATATATATTTGAGTAGAAACATTTAATGCTTTCAAATTAATGATTTTTACACATTCTCCATATATACAAATGTTTCTTCAAGATATCGCTAAATTTAACGTTCTTTTTACTTCAATTTTCATTTTACTGCCATACAAAAACCACATAGAAGTACGTAGAGAGAAATTTATTTCTCCAAAAAAAAAGGGTTGGAATTCCTCAAGCTCTTTGACTTTTTAGATACCGTTATTTTGTATTTTAAACGCAATTTTTAACAATAAATGTCGAACGTGACTGTTGTGTTATAGCAACAATCTGAAGCTTCAAACGTGGAGTTTTCTTGTTAAACAGAAAATATTTAATTAGAACGAAGTTTTTGGGAACTGAATAAATGTATCTCATCTGCTTAGCCTTCCTTCCTTGTCTTTATCTACATACATATGTATATGTATGTTATAGTAATATTATTTTTCTCACTTCAATAATTCTCAGAATAGAAAATAAAGTTAAAATGGTTGTGGTTACTCTTTTGAATGACATAAGTTGCTATATACAGTAAAAATGGATGTTATTTTCAAATGGTCAATTTATAATGGCTCACATTATACTTCGTATACGTGTAAACTCTGTTTTTATTGCAGTCACCGCTTTCTCGTTTTTTCTCTCACCATCTACATCAATATTTCTATCATCATCAGGTTTATATTTCGTACTAATTTTACGCTGTTGCCTTTATTTTTATTTATCAGGAACAAATGGCCTCCGAAGACGTGGTCGGCAAACGTATACCCGCTATCAGACGCTCGAATTAGAAAAAGAATTCCATACGAATCATTATCTGACCCGCCGACGAAGAATCGAAATGGCGCATGCTCTCTGCCTCACCGAACGACAGATAAAAATCTGGTTCCAAAATCGGCGAATGAAGTTGAAAAAGGAAATTCAGGCGATCAAAGAGCTTAACGAGCAAGAGAAGCAAGCACAAGCGCAAAAGGCCGCAGCACAAGCGGCGGCAGCAGCGGCGGCGCAGGCGCAACATATAGGCGATCAAAACTAGGAAAAAACCATCACAAATTATTCATATTATAATAGTAATAATATTAAGAATAATTATAATAATAATAGTAATGATAATAACAGTAACAACAATAATCCTAATGGTAGTAATACTATTTTTAATATTAACTATACATCTAATGCAATACCAACGCCAACACCTACACCTACACATACCCATAACCACCCAACAACAACGACAACTATTTGCAATACAAAACTGTCTACATCGTCGCCGATGCCGATGCCGATGCCGTTACCTTTGCCATCGCCGTCTTTGTCGTTGTCCGCTTCACCGTCAACAGCATACCACACATACACCCACACTGCGCATGCAAGTACCAGTAATTTTACCGATAATTTAAGCAACGCAAATATTAAATATAATAGATTGAATTTTATTTTAAACCGAAACATTTACGAGTATTCAGGATTGAGTGGTAGGCATAAGTTTTATTGAAATTTTTTCACTGGCGAACGATACAAAGTACATATAATATATGCATGAATATGCACACATAGCCACACATGCACACACACATACACTAATGTTAATAACAAATCATTACGTTAGATATGTGGTACATAATTAAATTGATTTTGTATTGTTTTTGGAAAGAAATTTATTTTTTTTGCTTCAACAAACGGCTTTTCAACTAAAGATAAATACATATTTTCGGTTAACAAAAATATCAAAGCTCATTCCAATCAAGTTAATTTGTGATTTAACTTCTATGTGCAAAACACTCTTGCATTCTTTTACTCGTTTGTCGGTACGAAGGTTCATTGCGGAGTTAGTAGCAGCATAACCGCTAACGTGTCTTTTGTTCTAATGTGTTGAATTTCGCAGTTCCAAATATTTGTTGGTTTATTGTAAGAAAATTGTTTTACTATACATTTTATAAAGACAAAACGTAAGAAAAAAATAGTTATTTGAAGTGATTGCTTGCTACTAACTGCTCAGTAGCGACCAACTAATTTGTATTAATAATAAAGTGTGCTGGATTCGTATGCATTTTACAAAAATAAAAAAAAAACGACATAATTATTTGGCTGTATTCAGCCCTTTAATCAATGCTAAAACGTAATTTTTAAATTAATACAATTTTTTTTATTTATATTTTCCTGATCCTTTCGGACTGGAAAGTTCATTCTTGCCTTGGATATTTGCGTGCAAAGTTGGATAAACAAATCAAATAAACATTTCATATTATTTTGGATTGAAAAAAGAAAAACATTTTATTTAATTAAGGAGTAAAACGTAAACACAGTTTAAGCAAACATACTTTTCCTGATTGTCACGCTTTATTAGTAATACACTTTGGTTACTACTAAAACAAAATTTATATACATATATAAAAAAGGAAAAAAATATATATATGTATCTGAAGTAATTTTCGTTTTCAGCAGTTAAAGAGCGTTTTTTATATATATTTGTATATATATATAAATATACATATATATATATATTTATCTGTTACAAACTCTGTTGATGGTAGTTTTCTATTATTATTGCCATTACTTTTTAAGCAAAATTACAAACAACTTTATGTATATTTTTGCCTTGTTTTGTATTTGTAAGTTTCGCGATTCGTTGTTCTTAAATTATAATGTAGTTATTTTGCAATATAAATTAGGCTTACTTAAATAAAATTCATAGTGAAAAAACTAGGTTATGTTATTTCAATAAGTTTTTCAGTTTTTCGTTTAGCAAATGTGATTTGTTTGCACGTTTTTTTTTTTTTTTTGTTTAAATATTTTCCTTTCAGAGTAACTGTTTTAATCACACGAGTATCCTAACGATATTAAATATCTTCAAATAAAAATTATTCCTCTACATTTTCCCTCTAACTGAAAGTTTTGCCGCAAAGTAATCATGTAAGCTCTGAGTGCTTAAGAAGTGGATGAAGGCTTTGCAGCAATCAGAAAAAATTAAACGTTTTGTCAGTTTATCCGTGATCTCGTATTTTTTTAATGTGTTATGTAATTAAGTATTTTTGTTATGAAACATTAGTACAACAACCAAACTTGTATCCCACAAACATACTAACGCCAGCATATACTATACATACGTACGTACACTTACAGTTGTGCATATACACAATTTAAGCATAATTATTGTTTATTTCAGTAAGAAAATCATTGCTATTTTCGGTTTGTGCTTTTTATATACATACAAATAATAAAATAAATAAGAGATAATAAATTGAGATATATTTAAATCTTATTATATATATATATCTATGTATATTTGTGTGAGAGGCGTCTAAATTGGCGATAGGTGTTGAAATTTTCTAAGTTTAGGTGCAATATTTTGTTAGCTAATGAAGTTTTAAATTATGTATATTATCATAAAATATTTCTAAACTAAAAAGACAAAGTGAAAATAAACAAAGGAAAATGCGATGTTTATGTATTGTACTTTTGTATGTATGTACTTTTGAAGTTTTTTGCTAAATTTCCCGATATAGCAGTAATAAGTTAATAGAGTTCAAACATTTAAATTACACTCACTGGGTAACAAAATTTTGAATTAAGTCTTTCTCCTTTAAGACTTACACACACTTGAAATATTCCAAATTCATTTTTAATTTAGTCCAACGAGCTGTGCACACCAATTTGAGTCATCAAGTGAAAACCGAGTTTTTTTGTATTTTCATTTAATATTTTTTTGTACTACGAAAAAAGTACACATATAGAACATCAAATGTATTTAGCAACAAAATATTTTTTTTCCTGTGGCAGTCTTTGCTTCTAACATAAAGTTAAAAGATTTTTGAAAGCAATAAATCCTTTACCCAACTCAACTATTAATGGTTCATACATAACAATTTCCTAGAGATATGGATTCTTGTATTATGTATATGAAATGGCATACATTGGAAGTATACTTTAGTGCTTACTGATCAATAGTTAAGAGAATTTCATATAATATTTTGTAAAATAAACATTTTTTAATAAAAATAAAAGTTAGGGGAAAATCGAAGGAAATGAGAATTTTTCGTCGTTATTGCAACAGCATCCTTCAGCAAAATGTATACGTAACTAGTGAGTAAGTGCTAAAAAAAAAAAAACAAAAAAAAGAAAATATTAATATTACAAATCAATAAATATACTTAAATTTATGCAAAGTGTTACTAACAAACCATTAAATAAAATGTAAACTAAAATACGTAATACAAGTTTGATGTGCAGTTTACTATTTATTGTATTTTATAAAATATTAGAAAATAAAAACAAAGTAGTAATAATGTGACAAATATACGTAATTTGAAAGTAACTGATTGTGAGGCATAAAGAGAATATATTTATGAAATATTTATAAAACAAACAAACAAAATTAGTTAAGTTAAATGAAAAATCTCTAAAGGATTTGCAAAGAAACTTACATACTGACGCATGCACATATGCACATATGTGGTATGTAATATTTCCGTCTTGAGCGCATTTGAAACAATGCGAGTAGATTCAAGTCCAACGCGAGCTTCACTTGCCGAATTTGGCAACAGCAAATTATAGGTATACGATCATAATGTTAATTTAACACATACACACACGCACAACCAGTGAAGAAGTAAAACAAAATTGAAAAGTGTGTTTGCGAAGCAGAAAATAGTATTTAGGACTGCTGGATGAGAAAAAATAAAAACAGAAGCGCTATACGAAAACTATACGTAACTTATACAAACGAAATAATTAAAATACAGTATAATTAGTGGAGAAAGCTCCTTAAAATACTTATATGAAACAATAAAACTACGTACGTACATACATTTTACCTATTTATTAAAAAATTGGAAATTAATTGAAAATATTGAAAGAGTATATAATAAAGTGAATAAATATTGCAATTAACATCCTTACGATAACTTTATTTATATTTATCAATAACTGTATTATTAAAATAAACCAACTTAAATGAAAGTAAAAATAACAGTAAATTAATAACGATGTGAATGGATAGTTTAATTTTTATCTAGCATTAAGTTGTAAATTATAAATACTACAAATAAAAACTATGAAAATAATTTAATGGAGAAGATGGAATAAAAGTAATACCACGAAAAATGGTAGATACATAAAATTGAAAAACTGGAGTCTTGTTCTTATTTATTGATGGCCAAATCGGTATAAAAAAGTTTTTGTAAGCATTTAAGTGAGTATAAAATATTTATTACCTCTTTTTTTTAAAACTAATATTTATTTATTGGGTCTGCTTCGACAACGGAAGCCTAACAACAAGCAATAAAATCTCAAACTAAATTAGAACAAAACACCCATTAGTAGGAATGACCTGCTAGCTTGACGTTGCTCTTTAGAGGGCTGATTTGTCTCTTCTTCGCCGGCGGGTTTGACTTGTGGCATGGGCCAAGGTGTTAGCCAAAGGGTTCGGATGGCTGCGCAGTTGTACTGCAGTTCAATCTCTTCTTTTATGGTAGAAACATTTAGATCCCTGGATATTTAGATATGCATATTTTCATTACGCATGTACCGTCATTACCGTTTTCGATTGGAACCTTTGAATTATATCTATATTCGTCGCGCAAGCTGTGCTCCATAACTGGATACCATATATCCATATAGGTTTTATTGTTGCATTATATAAGAGGACTCTGTTGCTAAGGCTAAGTCCAGACTTCTTGTTTAAAAGCCAATGTAAACTGGCAGATTTGAGTTTCAGCTGCAGGTTTTTTTATAAGCAAATTCACGTTCGTTACGGATACCTCAGGTTTGTTAAATGAAACTGGAAATAGTGTAAAGCAGCACAAGTGCGAGCAGAAAATATTAATAGCACAGGTTTAAGCAACCCGGAGCAGTAATCTTATGAGGAATTTTTCGGGCACAAATTGTCAAAAGTGAATGTTTGACATTTCTATTGTAAATAAAATTTTAAATTTTTAAGATTTTTTATTTTGATTATGATACCTATTGTCACTTGTGTTTAAGCTATTTTCTGTGCCATTCTGTCGAAAGCAGATCACTCTCCAGTAATTATAAAAT